TCCAATTCACCTACGAAGTAGAAAATGAACAAGGAGAATTACCTATGTTGGATTGCAGAATAAAACGAAGGATAGATGGTGGTTTAGATACTACCGTCTACAGAAAACCAACACATTCTAACAGGTATCTAGACTTCAAGTCATCTCATCCAGTGTCAGTTAAAGCGGGTTTAGTCAAATGTCTAAATAACAGAGCTGAGAAACTCACTAGTCATTGTAAGGACTTAAATAAGGAATTGAAACACATAAAAGAAGCGTTAATAACTAATAATTATCCCCATCATTTTATTAAGAAATTCACACGGACGCATAAGAAGCAAAATAATAACACTAATACAAATACAAATAATAGTGACAACATAAGTAGAAAGGAGATCAGCACCTCTATTGTGATACCATACAAGGAAGGAACATCAGAAACCATACGTAGGATTCTCAACAAGGTTGGAATTAGGGTGGCATTCAAACCAACAAACTCACTTAGAGGTAAGCTTTGTCGGCTAAAAGATCCGATAGAACCAATTAAGCAAAATAATATAATCTACCAAATTCCATGTAATGACTGTGAAGTCAAATACATAGGTCAAACTAGCCGGTCGGGGTCAGTTAGATTAACAGAACATAGGAATTTAGCTAAACATAGAACGACAGACCCCAATAAGATCAATAACCTAGAAAAACACTCAGCCATTGCATTACATTCATTAACACACAACCACACAATAGGATGGGACAAAACCACTGTACTTAAGTCTAATATAGCTAGGTGGAGAGAGAGATTAATTACTGAATCTTTGTTCATCGAATTCACACCCAACACATGTAATAGGAATGACGCAACACCTATACCAGAGATATGGAAAACTTTACTACCAATCAAAAAACAAAAAAACAAAGAGAGATCAGGTGACAGGACTATAAAATCAGATGTCGAAAGAAGTGTGATTACATTGATATGATTATGAGCAATAATTTATGCTCGAAACGTAATCAAGTAAATAATACTGTATCACTGTGCGCTTTATATCAAATAAACAAATCTAATATGGAACTACATTCTACCACAGTGCCCAAGTTTTTCACTTATATTAATGAAACTTATGGTCTTCCTGTTCGAAGGCTAATCAATAAACTCACACGACTTTCACAAACTGAAGCACGTTTCACAAATCATCGTATTTTCAATATTCGTTGCATGAAAAATCAAATTATCCCTAAATACCTTCGCATACGAATCCCAATATATACTGACAAAATCCAAAGGGCAATAGAACATGTCAGCAAACTATGTCTGAAAAAAGAAATTCACAGGATTATTAAGAAATTAAGTACCATTCGGAATAAAATTGAACAACTTAAATGTAAAATTATGAAGATAGTAAACTGCAGAGACTATGGATTTATAATAGAAACATCAGACAAAGCAAGATTAGCTACTCTCAAGAAATCTAGAAAAAATCAAATCAAAAAGTTCAATAAACTAATGCAAGAAAAATATGCTTCGGAAAACAATGAAATTACAAAGGAAACATCATCGAACATCGATAGAACAAAGTGGGTAGTCAATCTCTCCTCGAAAGCCTTAAGCTCAGCTGAGATGAAAGTACTTGAAAAAGGACTAAACTTCAACATAACAGTAGATCATCTAAAACCAGAAGATGTCATACCTAGCATAGAAGTAGCATTAAGCTCGGTGGATGTGACAACTGCTGAACAGGTTAGAGCGCAGTGTGCATTAGCACTTAAAAAACAAAAGAAGACACAGCGAAACTTAACGAAACTGGAAAATTCAGCTTTAAACAATCTACGAAAGGATAATAGTATAGTAATTGCTAAATCTGACAAAGGTAACTCAACAGTAGTTATGGACAAATCGGATTATCTTAAAAAAATGGATGAACATATCCAAACAGGGCCATATGAAGAGATTAAGAAACCTATAGATACTGTCATGAATAAAATTAAGAAATCTACAACAGATCTGATACGCCGACTGAAGCCATCTCTAGGTAAGTCCGAATGGTTTACTTTAATGCCAAAAACTAATAATCCTAGCAGAATTTACGGTACTATTAAGGTTCATAAAGCAGGTTATCCCATTAGGCCGATAGTTGACTTCCGAAACACACCAACATATGAGATATCAAAGTATTTAGCATCAGTATTACGTCCTGTTAGAGACCGTTCCAACTCTAGACTAGTAAATTCTTACGAGTTGAAACAAAAACTTAATGACCTGCACATAGAAGAGGATGAAAAAATGGTTAGTTTTGACGTAACAAGTCTTTATACTAAAATACCAATCAATATGGCACTGGAGGCAGTCAGAAATCAACTAGATACTGACTCACAACTTACTCAAAGAACCAAGGCATCGGTTGGTGAAATCATGTTAGGAGTGCAGTTATGCTTAACCTCGACAGTCTTCAAGTTTCAGGGAAAGATATACAGACAAACAGAAGGAGTAGCAATGGGATCACCAATATCCCCTATAGTAGCAGATATATTTATGGATAGTTGGGAAGATATGGCTTTACGAACATATAATCCGACACCTAAGATATGGTGGCGATATGTAGATGACACATTTACAGTGTTGAAATCGGAACATATCGACAGTTTCTTGACACACATAAACTCAGTAGTTAACGCAATCCAATTCACCTACGAAGTAGAAAATGAACAAGGAGAATTACCTATGTTGGATTGCAGAATAAAACGAAGGATAGATGGTGGTTTAGATACTACCGTCTACAGAAAACCAACACATTCTAACAGGTATCTAGACTTCAAGTCATCTCATCCAGTGTCAGTTAAAGCGGGTTTAGTCAAATGTCTAAATAACAGAGCTGAGAAACTCACTAGTCATTGTAAGGACTTAAATAAGGAATTGAAACACATAAAAGAAGCGTTAATAACTAATAATTATCCCCATCATTTTATTAAGAAATTCACACGGACGCATAAGAAGCAAAATAATAACACTAATACAAATACAAATAATAGTGACAACATAAGTAGAAAGGAGATCAGCACCTCTATTGTGATACCATACAAGGAAGGAACATCAGAAACCATACGTAGGATTCTCAACAAGGTTGGAATTAGGGTGGCATTTAAACCAACAAACTCACTTAGAGGTAAGCTTTGTCGGCTAAAAGATCCGATAGAACCAATTAAGCAAAATAATATAATCTACCAAATTCCATGTAATGACTGTGAAGTCAAATACATAGGTCAAACTAGCCGGTCGGGGTCAGTTAGATTAACAGAACATAGGAATTTAGCTAAACATAGAACGACAGACCCCAATAAGATCAATAACCTAGAAAAACACTCAGCCATTGCATTACATTCATTAACACACAACCACACAATAGGATGGGACAAAACCACTGTACTTAAGTCTAATATAGCTAGGTGGAGAGAGAGATTAATTACTGAATCTTTGTTCATCGAATTCACACCCAACACATGTAATAGGAATGACGCAACACCTATACCAGAGATATGGAAAACTTTACTACCAATCAAAAAACAAAAAAACAAAGAGAGATCAGGTGACAGGACTATAAAATCAGATGTCGAAAGAAGTGTGATTACATTGATATGATTATGAGCAATAATTTATGCTCGAAACGTAATCAAGTAAATAATACTGTATCACTGTGCGCTTTATATCAAATAAACAAATCTATTATGGAGCTGTGATTAAGGTCTTTGCTTCATCTGGTTTCAACAATCAAGCTGTCATCTGATAGCAATATACCCTTGCAACTATGTTACTGATCTAAGGAAAATAAAATCAAGTCAAGAAAACGCTACTATTCGAATAAGTATTCTCAGTCATTACTATTTGTAAGAGATCCATTTCATTTTGAAATTTCAAAGGAAATTAGTATTCCTTAGGGCTTGGATGTACCACATTTTCTGCAGGTGCTTATAAGTTTGAAGTAAAATGTCAGCGATCAAACAGGCTGATTCAGAGAAGACTATATCACCTTTCAATTAAATGTCCTATATCTGTCCTATATCTGGTAGATCAAATGCCTTCCTAATTTCCACTTACTGGCACGAAAAACTACTGAGTAGACACGATGGTTTCTTACCGAAATATTTTGATTCCAATTAAACACAGTCTAACTGACTGACTGAAATAATGTAAAACCTCATGGAATATCTGATCATATCAATTTGTCACAATCTCAGGTAATAAAAAGAGAAAAGATAAATTAAAGACTGACATTGTAGAAGGTAAATTGAACAATATGATAGAGGGCTCACTACTAACAGGCTAACAATATGCGACTTTCAGTACCTAGATCTACATGACCAATAAATTTATTCGTACAACCGTATCTAGTTCAGAGAATATCAATTAACAAGTTTTAATATCTCATAGATCCCAAGTTTTCATTTGTTTACATGTTTTAGTTGACAGGAAATGTTAACTCATCCTACACCTCATAACTTTGATACGCTGTATGACAGGTTGTCTATTTTTCGCAAATGCCATGATGGCATCAGTCTCTTTTATCTGATTTACCTCCCTTGCATAGAAATCCTAATATCACCTTACCAGCCGTTCAACCACACTTCAGCTAGGCTTCATAATCCCCAGTAATGTAATTCCAGTGAATTTCCAATTTCACTCATCTTGCTTAGTCAATCACACCTCACAGTGTTTGTGTCAAAGTACAGAACATTTCTAGACATTTATAATTATTTCTGAAGGATTGTGTATTGTTTTATTCTCTCCGTTCCGATAATCCTGCTTCTTTCGTTTTAATTTTTTTCCCTTTTAGATAAGTGATGGTAATTTTCACCAAATCAAACTATACCTAGAAGCTGAAATATTATATCTTTACACAGACAATAAACTGTGTATAACTATGGTGAAGGCCAGTACAAAGTTGAATGAATCTCTGAGTGTGCATGATCAGAATAATCCAGTGCATACACCAACTATATCTACATATAATATAATAATTAAACCACAGTATCTAGCCTTAACAAGTCCTTTATATTTGGTGGTGTACCAGCGGATCAGTTAGAAATAGCTAGTTACCTGACAAACGGGATATCCACTTTAGGCTTAACTGGTAAGTAGATAAAAATAAAAAGGTTCTCTGTATCGTACAGTTTTTAGGTGGTTTCATCGTCATGTTTCATCGTCAAGAATCTAGGTACTGAAAAACCACTTTTGGTTTACAAGTAGCAGCTGTATCTATGACATCATACTTGTGGTTATACTTTTCGCATGAAAGCCTAATCTAAAACTCAGTCTTTCGAAGCTTACTATTAAAAACTCACTTACTGAGCAAACTGAAACTTTATTGTCTTTCGTTGTCTGTAAACTACCTCTTCCGAAGCCTTGTCTCTATTCATGACAACAAAACGGTAAATAATTTGTTCTGAGTTAGGCCACTACTTCTAGGTTACGCTAATTAAATCAGTTCAGGTTACTGAATGCAGAATGTTTAAAACATTTCAAATTTCTTATAGGACAGAACTATTGATAATCTTTTTGTCCTACATAAACAATCTCACTGACTCAATAGTCCTCCAAACGATTCTCCATAAGTGCGATGCTCAAGTTCTCTAATCCATGAATGATACACTTTGTTGAGTCACTTTTATAGCGTTCTATAAAAATGTGTTACACAAGTCGACCTATATTAACAAATGGAAGCAATCTTAACAGTAGCATTCTAATCATGATTCAGTTAGCATATGCACAATAATTTTTTTATTCATTAGGAAAGAAACATGAGTTATAAAGGACAATAAGAAGTTAAAGTTGCCTGCCGGTCTTACCTGACAAATTTCAGTGGCTAATTATGTTTTGTGAGGCGACATTTTACCGAAACTTCGTTGGTTAGTTAGTTTACAAAAAGATTAGAAGACCCTGCAGGGATTAGATCATGCTGATATCTACTTCAGTATCTGGTATCTAAATATCAGTACAGTCTACTTCTAGCTAATTATTCTGTTTCCTTATACAAATTTGTAGAAGACCGTCGAACCGATTCTCTTAATAATCATTCGTTTTTCTCAAGGTATACCCTGAATCCACCGAAGTCATCTGTTTCTTGTGTCAAATGAACTCACTTCTTGTAAAACTGTACTTGGAAATTTTTCAACTAAGCTAATTGGCCTGTTTCTTAAACCTGACAGAACATGACAATATAAACAAATTATGAAGCTTTCATGATATTTAATGACAGTAGTTAGCTATTATTGCACACGTCCGACATGACATCAATTACCATCTAATGTGCAAACGATCATCACCGCACATTTCAATTGTGGGGAATTATTTTGTGCGAAAGGAGTAATAATCCTACTGGAAAGGCATCATTGAAACCTTAGTTAGTATTCAGCTGCATCCACCATAACAAGAATCGAGTGCAAAGCAACTAATAAACCAAGACTATCTGAACTGCTGAACTCACTTCGTAGAATATTGAAGTGCTTATACTGAACCTGGTGGTTTTGATAAACGGAGTCATTATGTTTTTCAACAATGCTCATAAGAAAGAAACCATCCTAAATATCTAAATAAGTTATGAGCTATGATAAGTCATTGTACATTCTTGTCACGTCTAAGTTACATGCTCATTACAAGCGCCTAATTTTTTAATTAGACACTAATAAACCAGTTCATCTCTAACCTCAAAGAGTTTCTATAATTGATTTATCTTATGCATTACAACGACACTTGAGGAAAAACAATTTAGTAACACTCAATACATTTATATTTTAAATGTCAACAACTGTTGTGTGAAACAGTTGACATTTAGTTAACAAATTCATTTCTATCATACTTGAATGACACTGAAATAGATTATTTCGTACTAAATGTCACTTTGCCTCAAGTATAGAATATCATTCACCAATGTTTAATTAACTGGATACAGTATCCAATACTGCATAACTGAAAGTGAAGGATTGGGCATATACTGTGAAAACCATTCGGAGACATCATGCGCCACCCCAGGCCATCGAGTGGAACGGAAATGCGAAATGACGAGTTGGGCGTCCGAGGGTGACATGGAGGAGATCATGTGAGAAAGAAATGAAAGTTTCTGGGCAGTTGTGGAGCCAGGTTGAAAAGACTGCAGAGAACAGAGTGAAATGGGGACGTGCTACTGGAGCCCTATGTTCCACTAGAAACCTAAGGGACTAATAATAATAATGTCAAAAAAGATTAGTAATGCGATTTAGCAAACCTAACATTGGGCTTATTTTGAAGTTGACATCAAAAAAGGAAACTGCATAATTATGTTTCGAACTACATTTACACTTAAAGTTATACCCATACACATGGGTTCAAGAGGCTACAACTAATTAACTGTTTAAATCAGTGACTGTATTCCTCTCCTTTCATCAGACTACTACATTTATGTGTGCTGTTTGGTAATACTTACTCTCATGTTCCTTAGGGTCACTTCTGTAGACAGAAGACTTAGAAATGCTTCGGCTGCTGCTAATGACTACAAACGACTGGTATTACACAGACAGACTACACAAATAACAAATGCAATCATTTCTCATTACCTACAACTTTCATACTGCTAAACAGCTCTTTCATCTGGAACAGCCATTCTAACCTTCTATGAATCATAGACATAGACTGGATGTCAATTATAATGTAGTTTAACTATGGAACACCGATGGCTTTGGATGTATCTGGGATCTACTCTACACAGTAATGTGCGTACCTGAAATATTTCCAGATTTTACATCTTTCTATTCTCTATATCTCTTGTGTATAAATGTATACGGTTATTTCTATCCACATTTGTCTGCTTGGGTCCTGTGGTTATTTTGCTTTACACAATATAAAATCAGTCAATTTATGCATTCACTCCAACTATAAATGAGATTGCAACTGCTTTAATGCTTCTGCTGGACACACAATCCATAAAAACCTTACTTCTAAATTAAAATATACTTGAATTGAACTTATTCACCTGAATTTTTGTTTGTTTTACCGTTCTATTTCCAAGGGTGCATACGAAATGTACAAATCAATGGACGTATGATTGATTTCGCTCGTCTTTTTGGAGCACCAGTAGACAAGATGACCGGAATAGAGGAACACGACACTGAAATGTCTTCACCAGAAGCTAAGCATCATGGAACAGCCATAGGAATACTACCGGGTTGTCGAATGAACAATGAAAAATCCAGCTACCAAGAATCTCCGTTAGAATTGCCATTGTATAACAGACAGAACGAAAATCCAAATACAGATTATTGATTCGAAGCCAGTATAAAAGAATCACCTGCAGCAGAGCAACTACTGAATTCCTCAATTAGTGAAAAGTCCATATCGTGTGACTCAAATGGTAAAAACTCATGTCTTAATGGTGGGATATGTACAAACGACAGGGCGAACCAAATTGGGAAGCATTACTGCAAATGTCCAGTGGGTTACAAAGGAGGAAGATGTGAAATGAGTGAGCATATCAGTTTATTATTTGCTTCCTAGTGTTTAAATCCCATAGTGATGTCATATAAAGATACTGAATATATCCATGGACCAGTAGAGGTCGTAGAGAGAAATTTTTCTATATCACTGATAGTACAGGTTAATTATAATAAAATAAACGGTTTTGTCGTGAATACCTCTACACTTACCTTCTTGTATTCATATGCACCGATGGACTAGTCGTTAAGAACCCATTATATCCTGTTTGGGTATGCTTTACTTAGATTACTGAAGAAACTGCCGAATCAAATCCTAAATTCTCAACCAAATTCTCAAATTAGTAGAAATCTTTGTTCTACTATGTGACTGTCATGGCCAATGGAAGTGGTCGATTTAAAAAAGTTGAAAGTATTTAGTTTTTGGTGTCTACAAAGAATCAATTATGAGCAGTTAAACCACAGGAAACAACATTCAGTTTAGATATAGGGCTTAGGGAGAAGAGACAGAGAGTGACTACTAAGTCGGAAAACTAAAAGATAAGCTTATGACACTTAGAAATTATTTATATAGATGAGAGGTAGGTTCCGAAGTATAACTAGAATAGACATCCTGAATTTCATTAGATCAAGACATGTCCGAAACTTGAAATACTCTGTATAAATGACCTACATATATGCATTTTTTTATTCTACAAATACTACTAATAATGGTCCTCGAAAAGACCGTCAGAATTCAGCCACATGCTTAAAATTAACAGAATAAACAAGTCCTGCCAAACAACGATAAAGATAATTTATTTACCTCTAGCTACTGAATATGTTTCCCCTTATCACTAAGAGCTGTGTATTCGATGTCCGAAACCTCAAATCACACTGATTAGTTACTGGAGAATCACGAGTTCCATGCTGACCGTTCCTAAGTCCTGACCGAATTCTACCGATCATTTTGGAATGCCATCATTAAGTTAGGAGGCTTGGATTCATGGTGCACTTTGATGAATGTCAGTTGGTTGGAGGCAATCGGCATGAGATTCCGGGCATAACTTTCGTGCTTTTCAGCCTTCTTCAGCAAGGCAAATCTGCAGTCTTGAGAGAACCGATGTCCTCTGAGGGATTCGAACTGGCGTCACCCAGCGCTGCAGTCAGAGATGTTATCATTAGACCGATGAGTACCAATAAGCGCAAAACCTAGTTCTGGAACTTCTTGTCGACTGCTTCTAGCCAAGTAAGTCAAGTAGAAACACGATAAACTGAACTAACTTCGAACAAACATTTATTTCGGTTTCCAGACAGGAAGAAAACTTCACTACACTGGTCAATAATGAGAGGAGTCTATTGAGTAAGGAAATGAGCGTTACAATACAGACAGTTAACTAAATAAGTCAGTGATCCCTATCACAAATTTTATATTTCTGGTAATGCTCATTAAACCTTGTGATGGGATGGTGTGCTAATAACACCCAGTAGCAATCCGGTGTATTAATAACGGGGATGGATTGCGACTATGGGAACTAGCAATGAATTATTCTCACAGAAATCGTTTAATACATGTCATTACTGATTATTGGAGCATGTTATGAGCTACTATCTCCTGATGAATCACTGACCGTAATACAACCGTGCATGAGGCGAATTCGAATTCAAGTGACACTGAAAACACCAACTGATACTTTGACTAGAAGTTGAATAGTATAAGCGAAACATTCTCAATGGTTTTAAAAAGATTCAATCACACTAGGTATTATCCACCTAAGTAAACATTTTAAAATAGATTTCATGCTGTTTAACTACAATAAAAAGTGACATTACTTGTGTAATCATCAAACGTCCAGTAAAACTGCACCTTATCAAATGACTATTTCAACTATAGTATTGATCTTCCAATCTACTAGACTTCACCCAGTTACAAAGTATAAAAAGTTGAATAATGCAATACTTCATGTTAATAAAATTGAACTAGTATTTATTTCACCCGCCATGGCAAACAGCCCTAAGATAAACCACATTTGTATTTTCTGCTATTCATTACAGATGTGTTCCAGGGAACTATTGAAATTTTAATCACTTTAAAGGCCTCACAAGAAGCTGTGATACACTGATGGCGATAACTAGAACGACACTCAAACGTTTGCCAACTAAAATCTTAACACAGAGAGCCATAAACTCTTCTATGTTATTTATTTTTAGACAGTTAATAGGTCCATGCTGGGAAACCGCCTGTCTCGATGTACGACGGCAGCCAAAGTAGGTTTGGTTGGAAAAGTGCTTACGATGGCCGAATCTAGATGTAGTACCAGCAGATGAAGGTTTTGACTGTTGGTCTGAGCAATGTAAGAAGTTGTAGACTGCCTGACCGGGATCCTTGAGAAAAATATAAGTCAGTGGTTCGAAACTCTTAGTGAAACAGCTTAAATTTGATCAGAATGTCACAGACGCAGAATGAACACTATTTTTATCTTCAAACTTTTGAATTTTCCCTCTAGGCTTCATATATTTATTCTCTAAAATCATATACACTTCTGAACACTTCAACATTACGTCTTTTCGAACTACTTTCTTAAATGCTGCTGTGAGTTATGATATTTTGGAGTGGGGTTTTACTGGGTTTCACGTTGATCTGCGTTTCAATATACAACAGTAAGGTATACAATACACCCTCATGATCCTCGCAAAAGCGAAATCCACATCATTCCAGTTAAAGACATATTGCCGTTGACCGGACAAATAAAGGCATCAACACAAAAATGACAGCAAAATTTGCTGGTTTTCAAGAAGCCAAACAATGTAGCATCGCATTACCCTCCAACAAAAAATAACTGGATAAACGACTGACATCGTATAAATATAATTTCTCCCAGGGCTTCAGTAGCACGTCTCCAATTTACTCTCTACTCTTCAGTCTTTTCAACCTAGCACCACGACAGCCAACAACCTCTCATTTCTTCCTCGCACGATCTCCTCCATGTCACCTTCACCTCCGACACCCAACTCGTAACTTCCCATCTGGGTTCCACTCGAGTGTCTGACCTGACGCGTGATGTCCCCAGTCGGCCTTCTCAATGTATGCTCAATCCATCTCCACCTCCTTACACTGCATATTTGTTCAACGATAGCTTCACGGTTAGTTCGTTCACAGAATTCCTTGTTGATAATTTTGACTATTTTGGCCATCTGAGCTTCAGTAAGGAGTCAGCTAGGCAGTTGTTGATGAATGTCTGTAGTTTATTGGAAATCACTTTCGTGACGCGCCAAGTCTCTCAACCATACAGTAGCACTGACTTGACTGAATTAGTGTTGAAAATCTGTATGTAGTTCACGTTTTATGCTGAGTGCAGTGCAGAAGATCTCCACACTGGTTTCAGGCTAATCAACACCTGTCTTGCTCTTCCGATTCTGACTTTGACATCCTCGTCAGTGCCGCCTGTAGTTGAGACAGTGCTGCATGCCTAGACAGGTGAAGGAGGCCACTTCCTTTAAGTTTCTCCCGTTGATGGTGATTGCAGCTTGTTGTTGCTGATGCTGTTGTTGTTGGTTGGGTATCTTCATCACCTCTGTCTTCTCTATACTCATTCACTTGAAGTCGCGTCCTGGCTCCCTGGCTCTTCTGTCAACTTGTTAGTTTTTGCCTGTAGATGTGTGTATGTGTATGTGTATGTGTATGTGACATCAGGCACAAGTCACCGGCGAAATCAAAATCTTCTAGGATCTTTTCCCCGGTGCAGCCAGTGTATGCCCCTCTTCTCTCTCCTCACTGTTTGTTGCATGATTCAGTCCAGTCAACCACAATCAGGAATATCATGGGTGATAGTAGGTAGCAGCCTTGTTTTACTCCCTCCTGTCTTCACTTGAAAAGCATCACTGAGCTTCCCCTTGTGGATTACTTGGCATGTGGCGTCTTCATATACTTGTTGAATGAGATTGATAAAGCTTTGTGATATTAGGTAGTGTTGAAGCAACTGCCTACCAAATTACTTCTCGGTCGAGGCTGTCAAAAGCCTTTTCAAAGTCAATGAATTTCAGGTAGACGGTTGATTGCAATTCTATACTCTCTTCTATGCTGATGCGAAGCGTTGCAATTTGGTCCACACATGATTTGTACTTCCTGAATCTAGTCAGGCAGGCTGTTCCAGTCGTAGTTTTGAATCTAGTGAATCCTTTAGTCTCTCCAGGATGATGCGGCCTAATATTTTGCTTGGGGTGGACAGTAGCGTGATTCCACGCCAGTTCTTGCAAAGACTTAGGTCATTCACCCTTCTTTGGGAGTTTGACAATGTAGCCCTCCTTCCAATCAATAGGCAGGTACCTTTCCTTCCTTCCTTCCTTCCTTCCTTCCACACCTTCTGCAACAGTGGTGTGAGCATGTCCGCTGTTGTCTCTGCGTCTGCTCTCAGTGCTTCTGGCAGGACTCCATCTGGTCCTGCTGCTTTCCCGCACTTCAGTAGCTTTATGGCGCTCAGGATTATTCTGACTTTCGTTGGAGGCCTTGTGTTCACTTGTAGTTCTGTGGCTGGTGGTGGCTGCAAGTGGTATTTCATGACAGAGTGCAGGTGGTCGATTCAAGAGCTTTTTGAAGTGGTCTGCCCATCGTTTCCTTTGTCTCTCTTCTTTGCTAATTAAACTTCCTCCATCATCTTTTATTGCTTTCATTTGTGTTGATCTCTTCCCTAACAGATAGTCACCTGGTTATTTGATACAATGTTGTCAGGTCTCTCTCTCCTACATGCAGCCTGTTCTGCTTCACTTCCCAGTGTGTCGTGGAATTGTCTTTTGTCTTTGCGTGCACTCTTCTTCACTTCTTTGTCCAGTGTAGTGTTTTATACATTGTGCTCAGTTCCTCTTCTCGTTGTGCATCCTTGCACTGGTTTATCTTCCACTTCACCATCCTCCTCTCCCTGCTCTATCAGCTTCCAGGTATCCGTCGAGATCCATTCCTTGTCTTCTTTCTTCTTCCTTCCTAATAGGGCTGTGCAGGTTTCTTTCCACACAGCTTTCAAAGAGTTCCAGTCTTCATCCACACATGTTTCTTCAGGGATCTTGCCCGATATCTCCCATTTTGTCTTGATGGCTGGCTGATGTGAAAATTTTCTTTGTAGTTTCGTCCTTCAGTTTCCGGGTGTTGGACTTCAACTGTGCTCTGTCACCAACTTCTTTCAAGGCTTTCAATTGGATTTTGAAGGTCCCATGCACTAGATAATGGTCTGAACCTACATCTGCTCCCCTTCTTCACCTTGTATCAAGTAGGCTGACTGCGTCTCCATTTTCTTGAGATTGAGATAAAGTCGATTTGGTTTTTAGTGTGTCCATCTGGTGAAATCGAATCCATGTCGCTGCCCTGTGAATATCCTTGTGTTTGAACACACTGCCTAGCCTCCAATCACCAAATCGTTGAGTTGAATGCGCAGAATTCTGCAAACAGTTCTCCATTCTCATTCATCACCTCACCGAGTGCTTCTCTACTCATGATGAGTTCTCTTCCTGTGTTGTCCACTTCCAGTTTGGCATTCATGTCACCCCGCCCATTAGAATTTTGATATCGCCAACTGACGTCTTGTCCAGTGTTGATTGCAGTTGTCTGTAGAATTCCTCCTCCTTCTCTTGCTCTGCATTATTTGTAGGTGCACAGTGTAGCATTGTATGATTGTGACCTTCGTCCCTTTTGAGTTGAATCTTGCTGTCGTTATCCTGCAGGAGGAGATTGGTTCCCACTGCATGAGAGCCTTCGATACTCTTGGTGAGTGACATCATGATAGCCACTCAACAACTCAGTGTGCTCGTGGTTGTCTTCTGGGTGACAATGTCGGAGTGAATTATTGATTCTCTAGTTGACAGTTTGGAGAGTCCATTTCCATTTCATCTGCTGATTCCTAGCACTTCAATGCAATACCTTCTCATCTCGTTTGCAATCTGGGCAGCCTTGCTAGGTTCATACATGGTGCGGACATTCCATGTCCCCACGTTTACCTTTGCTTTCATGGAGAGAAGAGAAGAGAAGAGAAGACACATCGGCCAATTGGCTTCCCGAAGACAGGCTTTCACCAACCGGCGTCATTTCGCCTCTCCGATTCCAGCGAGGAATAATTTTGTTTTCATTTTTTTGTACTTTGTACTTTTGTGCTTTGAAGTTTCTTTAGTGGTTGGATTGGTTTTACGGCGGTAGGGTTGCTAGCCCTATGCCCTACCTTCCCTCTTTACCCGGGCTTAGGACCGGCTAGTAACTAGTGAACTATTTAACCAGGACAATATTTTAAAAACATATGTTGAACTGATATAAACTACGCAGAAAAGTACATCCAAATCTAGCGATTTTAGATCGCATTTTCTCACACCGCCAGTTCGCGATAAGCGCCACCTTCATGTCAATCAACAGCTCACTACTACCAGATTAAAGCAGAAGTTGTTTATTGCCTACAAATGACTTGTTCAAAGTGGATGCTTCAATAGAAAGCTGGGACTAGTAGAACTTAAACATTTTTATGCTAAATAACTGGTTCTTACTTTAGACTAATGGTAAAATTCTGGTTATGAAGAGCTAGGATTCTGCTTTTACAATCTTAAGAAGTAAAAGATACGTGCCAATGCAGAAAGGCTGTACACAAACTTGCCACAGAATGGTGATCCAGGAAGCCATCAATTCTTAAGTGTTGACTGAAACCGGTCTTTCAAGTTTGCACTGTTGTTACTGAGCCAAGTGACATGGTACTGCCATCTATACATCACACTTCGGAGTCAAGAGGCAATCAGCTATGGTCCTAGATTGGATATCTTTTTGGCACTCTTGAACAAGGCATGACAGAACCGATGAGTGTATCATCCAGTCCCTGTCTCTAACAATACTTGATTAAACTGACTTACCACTGAAGAATCACCAACTTCATTCCGTGTTTCTCAAAGTTGACCAAATTCTACCAATCTATTCGAATCATAACTGATTCCTTTATAGTCTTGTAATGGTTCCCCTTCTTCTTGGATTTATTTGATTCTCTAAGTACTTGGTGAAGGTGTTTCTTTTAGTTATCAAACCAATAACTACAAATAGTTCTGATCTTCAAATTTATTGAGAATATTCGGTAGAAAAATGGAATGAATTACAGAAATGTTTTGATGATATTTTCTTCTCGGCAGGCAATGATGGTAGAATTCATGACAAATTCCATTTTGAGTTGCGTTTATGGTGTCTTTGTAGCAGATGTTTCATATTTGTCATCTGTTTAACATGATACTTTATGATGCAGTGTTGCGATTCATTGCTTTAGGTAGTTGACCATTTACAACCAGCTTCGAGTCCCGCACCGCCTATTCACGTTCGCGTCGTAGTCAGGTGGTATCAATATCCCTTACACAATAAATGTGAATCATTATTATTTAGTGCATTAGCATGCTCTTGGTTACTGAGTTACGTGTTCAATCCATCCATATAGTAGTCGAACAGAATTACGCGTCAGCAACGGCAACCAAAAACTGACAGATCGTAGGTAACAAACTGAAATCAAAAGTACGAAAACTGCTGAATATCCCTCCTCTTGAAATACAATTAATTTTTTAAACAAAAATTATTATTCTTTTCAATTCTCTTCCCAATTTTACTAGCATCTATTTGTCATCGTGATACCCAGCGTTCATATATTCGTGATCCACAAACCAATTGTATCTCTTCAAGAAAATTATCAATTCGTAAATGTTCTGGTTCCTGTGATTCAACCGTTATACACCAGCAACAGCAACAATTGCTTAACAGCAATTTCAATGATCAAGAATCAATAAAATATTATAAATGGAGGAAGGTTTATAAACGATCCGCTAATTCAGCACAAGTATGGCTGCCGGATAATTCAAAAGATATGCGATCTTTTAGGACAATAAAAGACTTAAGCACCATAGTTTCTCAGCATTCAGATCATTCAAGTTCTTTCACATCACAACAGTACTGTTGTCAAGCTACAAAAATGAAATTAAAACCAATCTTATTCAACTGTCCTAATGGTGCTGTCTACGAACGCACTATAAAGTTAGCAAGAAAGTGTAGTTGTGTCCAATGTGTTCAGCAGATGACGAAAACCCACTGACTACAATACGTCCAATAAAATCATGAAGTACTACACCGAAAATACACTACAGAAAAACACCAATTAAGTAATTTGAGGACATCTGAAAAATTGAAACATTGAACGCATTTTGTTTACCTTGAGTATTTTTTTCTTTCTCTTATGATAACTACCTCATTATAACTATACTTAACGAATATATGGAGTTGTCATGTTCTTGACACAATGAGTAACTAGATAGCATTCTAATCATTATTATTATTATTATTATTATTATTATTATTATTATTGTTATTATTCTTATTCTTCTTTTCTTATTATTATTGTTATAATTAACACTCAATGACCTCAATATGTAAGGGTTATTATGTCGATTCTCTTCCTCTCAACGTCTTATTTATCCACTGTATTTCCAACTTTCTGCTATACAAAATTTTATCAGTTACTATCATAATTGTTATCATCATTATTTCTATTACAATTAATTATTATAACGCACTAATAATCCTACAACTAGAACCATTGATCATTTACTAAGGTTCACTGAATAATCAATAAAAAACGGTCCTGTATTCATGTTATTGTAGATTATTCAAGGTCAACTATTGCATTATATCTCTGATCTTAACCTCTATCACCTACCACTGCAGTATTCATTGTATCCATACACGCACACACATTACTGCACAATCTCACAAAAATTTGCTTCTCTACTATTTCACAGGTAAGATATTCACTCCTTTCGCTTAGCACTCCATGGCTTCGTACAAATCAATCTACCATCATATACGTAAAACAATTTATCCTATCAGGTAAATAAATAAGAATGATACTGGTAATAATTACTACTACTAAGAACAGTGATCATGAAGAGAGTAGTATATTTCATGGGAGCTAAAATATGCACCACATATTTACGCTTCATACATGATCATCTTCCCGGTCTTTGTTAGTGAATAAAGGGGCAATTTTGACACTGATCTGCATACTTGTAAATCCCTCTCCTCCTTTATTCTTCCTTCCTTTTAATAATCGTATAAGGTTTCCTTATCATGTTGTTCATATATGTACTGCAATACTAAACAATTATTATTGTTCGTGTTGTTACTGCTATCATTATTATTGGTGTCTTGCATCAAAATCGATAACTGATTCAATCGGATTATTGTATTGCGAATAGTAAATAACAATTTTGTTTTTGTACACTAATATGCATATATTAAATACACTTTTACACAAGTGTTCATTTTAACCATTTGACTGAGAAGAATTTATTCTCATACCCGTTACCAATCACTTGTATCCGGTACATTGTCATGTAAGCTCTATATGGCGTGACTGACATTAGTGATCATTGCTTTTTTCCAAATAAATGCTTTTAAAGAATTGCAATATATGAAGAGAATAATTAAATTACGCTCAAAATTACTCACTCCACACACACTATTTGAACGTAATAATGACCACTGATGTCAGTCACACAATATAAAGATGACATGACAAAATGCCGGATACAGGTAGTCATCAGTAGCTTGTAGTGCACACTCTTGATCAGCTATCAATCAATTTTCAATCACACTAGTCTTATATGTATTATGATTGAAATGTTCTCTTGAGGACAACTGAAATAGAGCAATGTTAGAAATCTCCCATAGTTCGTCTGCAGAATAAACACATCATACATTCAAAGATAAATTTTCTTCCCGCAAAACATTTACTAGTTCATTACAAGCTCTAATTTATGCTTGTTTCCATGCTCCAGTTATATCTTCACCTATCTCAATGAACAGGAAGTAGTTTAAGTAGTTTGAAAATCCAATTTGTTTTCGTGGTTAGAGCTGGATGCCAACAAATGCAGACTAAACTATGATTCAACTTGAATGTTTGTAGAGAACTGATTGATTCCAAAAGTTTTTCAACGAGAGATCGGCATCAGCCAGAGAACGATTAAAAGCTTAAGAGTAATGGACATCTAGTTTGGGACTTCTCAGCACTGCGCGCCTGGCAGGGATCGATCGCAAGATCACCAGCCCACTAGATCAGAATCCAATACCGTCAGTGAATAGTTGTCCCTACAACTGAACCCACAGATCACGACTTCATACAAGAGTTGCAAGAAGCCCACCTCAAAACAAATCGTTAGAGAGCACCAGATTCTGATTCAGTTTGAAAGACTCTGGCGAAATGATTGATTCCGAAATGCTAATGACATGCTCAGGGATGAACTGTTTGAAATTCTGATAAGAAGCCATTATCTGCCGGGTAAACTTAGTCGACTGTGAGGAATAATACTTGCCTTTGCATCAGTTGACAGTAGCAATGTATCACGAATTGAGGAAAGCTTGGAAATGTGAGCCATTGGACTGAAACCCAGTGGCCGGATGGTAATAAGCTTACCATGAGATGAAACAGCACTGGAAATTATCCCTCAAAGAGTATAGGTGCGCATTACTGCGGGATTCCAAACTTGGATGCAACAGATCTTCAGTGTTCACAGGTTTCAATGGTTCACTGACTGATATCAATCTAGGATGGAAACCTCTTTGAAAACTCCAACTGGCCACAAGTTGGCTACGGGATTCTCTCAGTCTCGCTCTACCTACTGAGGTTTAGGCAGCCATATAGTATCATTGACCCCGAACACAAATGTGGCCCATTGCCTATTGGATACTTCAGTTTTCTCGGATAAATGCTCATCTGTAAACGGAGTACTGAACCATAATATTCAATGTCACTAATTCTGATCCGTTATCAACTTGCATTTACTCCCATTTTATTATCGTCAAGCAAAGGAATATTCTAGACAAATAAACACAGCAACTCACAAGATAAAAATACATAAAAATGGGGAAGAAAACAAAAGTATTTCGTGATCAGCCGGCATATTTGAAGAATGCTGAAACACAACAGAATTCACAAACTTAACGATTTTTAGCGAAAAAATTAGTATGCAGAAATTAATTGTGTCGTATAATTCATTCATAGCCAATGTATGAGTTTCTACATAAAGGGAATCACTTGCGAAAATCATGACCAAATGAGTTAGTATAAGTGCCTTAGCTTCTCGAAAATCATTTTTCAGTGCGAATGTGATGCCCCAGTTTTGTATAAAACATTGTTATTGATCTGAACATTTTAACGTGTCATTTCCACACCATTTTTACAGTATGACTAGTAGTCTACTTTCTGCCCGCATTGTAATGTAAACCACTGATTGGTTAATCTTTACTCTTACTATGCGGATGTCTCAAATCGAGGACAAGGTCATTTGCCATGTCTATACTTATTCACGTGTTTTGGATTGGATTATCGTTATGTTCTCGGAGTAAACTCTCCCATCATCCAGCTTCGGTCTTCTCTCTATTAGCCCCGAGGCTTCAGTCAGTGGCTGTTGTGTGCTAAGTTAGCTGTCAGCTAATCATGAGTATTAAATTCCTTCCGGAACATATATATACATATATATTTTTATTATTATTATTATTGTTATTATTATTATTAGTCCCATGGGTTCCTAGTGGAACATAGGGCTTCAGTAGCACGTCTCCATTGACCTCTGTTCTCTACAATCTTTTGAACATGGTTCCACGACAGCCCACAACCTCTCATTTCCTCTCGCACGACCTCCTCCATGTCACCCTCACCTCGGACGTCCAACTCGTCGCTTCCCATGGGGATTCCACTCGAGGGCCTGACACGTGATGTCCCCAGTCGGTCTTTCAGTGCATGCCCAATCCATCTCCACTTCCTCCTGCATATTTGCTGTGTGATAGGTTCTTGGTTGGTCGTTCCCAGAGCCCTTGTTGCTTATTCTTTCTGGCCATCTGATCTTCAGTAGCGAGCCAGCGCAAGCAGTTGTTGATGAATGTCTGTAGTTTATTGGAAATCACTTTCGTGACGCGCCAAGTCTCTCAACCATACAGTAGCACTGACTTGACTGAATTAGTGTTGAAAATCTGTATGTAGTTCACGTTTTATGCTGAGTGCAGTGCAGAAGATCTCCACACTGCTTTCAGGCTAATCAACACCTGTCTTGCTCTTCCGATTCTGACTTTGACATCCTCGTCAGTGCCGCCTGTAGTTGAGACAGTGCTGCATGCCTAGACAGGTGAAGGAGGCCACTTCCTTTAAGTTTCTCCCGTTGATGGTGATTGCAGCTTGTTGTTGCTGATGCTGTTGTTGTTGGTTGGGTATCTTCATCACCTCTGTCTTCTCTATACTCATTCACTTGAAGTCGCGTCCTGGCTCCCTGGCTCTTCTGTCAACTTGTTAGTTTTTGCCTGTAGATGTGTGTATGTGTATGTGTATGTGTATGTGACATCAGGCACAAGTCACCGACGAAATCAAAATCTTCTAGGATCTTTTCCCCGGTGCAGCCAGTGTATGCCCCTCTTCTCTCTCCTCACTGTTTGTTGCATGATTCAGTCCAGTCAACCACAATCAGGAATATCATGGGTGATAGTAGGTAGCAGCCTTGTTTTACTCCCTCCTGTCTTCACTTGAAAAGCATCACTGAGCTTCCCCTTGTGGATTACTTGGCATGTGGCGTCTTCATATACTTGTTGAATGAGATTGATAAAGGTTTGTGATATTAGGTAGTGTTGAAGCAACTGCCTACCAAATTACTTCTCGGTCGAGGCTGTCAAAAGCCTTTTCAAAGTCAATGAATTTCAGGTAGACGGTTGATTGCAATTCTATACTCTCTTCTATGCTGATGCGAAGCGTTGCAATTTGGTCCACACATGATTTGTACTTCCTGAATCTAGTCAGGCAGGCTGTTCCAGTCGTAGTTTTGAATCTAGTGAATCCTTTAGTCTCTCCAGGATGATGCGGCCTAATATTTTGCTTGGGGTGGACAGTAGCGTGATTCCACACCAGTTCTTGCAAAGACTTAGGTCATTCACCCTTCTTTGGGAGTTTGACAATGTAGCCCTCCTTCCAATCAATAGGCAGGTACCTTTCCTTCCTTCCTTCCTTCCTTCCTTCCACACCTTCTGCAACAGTGGTGTGAGCATGTCCGCTGT